TTATTGCAGGACGCTGCAATTTGTTGATGTATCTTATAAAATTCTTGGACATGGCACCAAGTGTCCCTATGACAATGGGTATGACTGTTACATGTTTCATAATTGGGTAGTTTTGATGAACAGTTCACGGTATTTCATGATTTTTTCCAGTTTTTTTTTCTTCGACTCTGGCATCTTCTGTTACATCAATGTCAATAAATTGCATGTTTTGGCCCTTTACAACCGTGATATCTGGCATGTTGTGTTCCAAATGACGATCCGTCTATATTCGAAAGTCCCACAAGATCTTCACCTTCTCATTTTTGGTAACTTTTTCCACTTTGTGCTCCCATGGCAATGACAATTATGGCGGCAGCTGCTGCTGCTACTTCTACTACTNGTTATCACTGGTGCTTCTGGCAAAATTTCTGCCAATTTTTCTCCCTTTTCTTCTTCCATGTTTTGAGGTTTGAGATAGGGTTCCAGTTCGCTAATCTCTCCTTTCAACATTCCACTCCTGTCATTTCCAACCACACTCAATTTGCTGTCAATATCAACAATTTTCTTATCACTTTGTTCATGTTTTCCTTCAATTTTTTGAACTCTATCTTTAAATTTCATCATCATTTTATAGATATTGTCAACTCTTCCCTCTATTTTTTCTGTTTTTTGTTCTATGTATTCCATCCTCTTTTCAATGTTTTTTGTATTTATTTGTACTTTTTGAATTTCAAACATAATCATTTGCAATGTTAATTCTTGTTTTTTCTTCATGTTGCGCTATTCTTCCAGGTTATAAACACTGCCACTAAAACATCCAAAGCTTTTTTGTTGTTTCAAACCAGTTCACTATAATCTTCCAGGTCAAGGTTTTCTCTTCACTCCAGTCCAGCTATTGATAGTATTCCAGAAGAGCACCTGCATAAACATTTCGTACTCTTCCCACTATCCCTTTCAATAAACAAAATCAAGAGCCTTGAAGTATTAGATATTAGTCAATTGTTCACAGGGGATAACAAAAAACAATGTTTCCAAGCCTCCAGCCTCTAGATGGCAGTGTTGCTTCTTTTTCCTCTGCCTCTACCCCTCTTTTTAAATTCTGAGCTTAAGAAAAAAAAAAGTGCTTTAAAGCAAATAATCCAACCAAGCATTGTGAAAAGAAGAGAAAGAAAATCATAATCCACAAATATGAAAAAAGAAAAAAAAATAGAAGAGGGAAAAAAGAAACCAGTCCAGTTCCATCCATTAAAAAAATGCAAAATTTAAAAAAAGATAACACACTAAGTTTAATTCAGGCTTAATTCGCAGCTTGCTCTCTGTCTTCAATTTTAATTTTACTCTTAAGTCTTTTTGGGTGTTCTCTTCTCTAATAGTAAAATTTTATCTCACCATTTTGTCCCACTCTCTCTCCTGCCTTTTTTCCCTTTCAGGGGCTGTCCCAACCTTCTGCAGCTTCAATGGCTGCTTCTCTTTCAACAGAAAAAAGAGCTTTTCCTGGATCAATCGGAAACTTTGCAATGTCTCTGAGATCAGCAGGATGTGCCCTTCTCTATCATCGTCTCTATGGGACGGTTTAGGTCCAAAAGGACTGTCCAGCATCAGAGATATCGACAGCAATCCTGGAGCTCCAAGATTGCATGTCGTGTCATAGAAACGTCAGCCCTGCCCTCCACCAGGTTTTTTTTTTAATGTTCATGAAATGAAAATCATTGCTTTTGAGAAAATCATTCAGTCAATTCTGATTTATGTAATGCAGAAGAAATCTGTTTCCAAATACCATTTATCTCTTTTCTTCTCCTCTTGGTACTTTATCTAAACCGTTATTGATAAAATGGTGTTTTTATTTAAAATTGGACATGGTGTCTTCATGCTGCAAATTTGAGACCTGAGCGATAATGATACCCTCCATAAAATTCATAACTTTCAACAAGTTTTACGTACCTATTATGGATTTCAGTTGTTTTGCTTTTTAAATCTGAAAGAATTTAAAGAGCTATATTCTTTTATCACTAGATGGCATGAAATATTAAATGACCCTAAAGTCTTCTGTGAAGTCTGCCTCTCACAAATTAGAATGATTGCCCATTTTTTCAGAATGAAACTTTCTAGGCTAAACAATTACTTAAACAAAAATACCATATGTGTGTGTATTCCATGTATGCATGTATACACACGCACACACACGCACACACTTCTGAATCAGTCCCCTGAAGTATAAATGTCCCAAAGGTGCTTTTTCAAGAGGCAAATGGACTTTCTTTGTTTTTCTTTGAAGACATTTCACGTCTGATCCAAGAAGCTACTTCAGTTTTGACTGAATGATGGAGAATTCGGATCATGGGGAAAGCTAGGGAGCTCCAGAAAAACATCTACTTCTGCTTCATTGACTATGCTAAATCCTTGGATCACAACAAGTGGCAAGTTCTTAAAGAGATGGGAGTACCAGATCATCTTATTTGTCTCTTGAGACACCTATATGCAGGTCAAGAAGCAACAATGAGAACTGGACACAGAACCACTGATTGGTTTAAAGTTGGGAAAAGAGTCCGGCAAGGCTGCATACTGTCGCCCTGCCTATTTAACTTATATGCAGAGCACATCATGAGAAAGGCGGGACTAGTTGGAATTAAGATTCCCGGGAGAAATATCAACAACCTCAGATATGCAGATGATACCACTCTAATATCAGAAAGTGAAGAGGAACTAAACAGCGTCTTGATGCAGGTGAAGAAGGAGAGTGAAAAAGTTGGCTTGAAACTCAATATTAAGAAAACTAAGATCTTCCGGCCTTCTCAATTCCTGGCAAATAGATGGGGAAGAAATGAAGGTAGTGACAGATTTTATTTTCCTGGTCTCCAAGATCACCGCAGATGGGGACTGCAGTCAAGAAATTAAAAGATGCTTGCTCCTGGGGAAGAAAGCAATGACGAATCTAGACAGCATACTAAAAAGCAGAGACATCACCCTGCCAACAAAAGTGTGTATAATCAAGGTTATGGTTTTTTCCAGTTGCCATGTATGGCTGTGAAGGTTGGACCATAAGAAAGGCTGAGCACCAAAGAATTAAGGCATTTGAACTATGGTGCTGGAAAAGACTCCTGCGAGTCCCTTGGACTGCAAGGCAATCAAACCGGTCAGTCCTAGAGGACATCAACCCTGACTGCTCTTTAGAAGGCCAGATCCTGAAGATGAAACTCAAATACTTTGCCCACCTAATGAGAAGGAAGGACTCACTGGAGAAGAGCCTAATGCTGGGAAAGATTGAGGGCAAAAGAAGAATGGGACAACAGAGAATGAGGTGTCTGGATGAAGTCACTGAAGCAGTAGATGTGAGCTTAAATGGACTCCAGAGGATGGTAGAGAACAGGAAGACCTGGAAGAAGGTTGTCCATGAGATCGCAATGGGTCGGACATGACTTCGCAACTAACAACAAGAATGGAGAATTCCTCACCATTCAGTCAGAACTGAAGAAGCTTCTTGGATGAGACGTGAAATGTCTTCAAGGAAAAACAAAGAAAGTCCAGTTGCTTCTTGAAAAAGCACCTTTGAGACAACCATGACCTGGATGACTGAGAATCTCAATATCCTGCAGAATGAATGCCTCTTCATATGTGGTTTTTTTTTATTCTAAGTCTAAGTGGGATTGATTGATCCAAAGTCATCCAGCTGATTTCCATTCCTAAATGCGGTACAGAACTTGGGTCTACTCACTCTATTCTAGTGCTGTAACTAGTACATCACATAGCCTCTTATGCATATGTGAAATCACGATGATGTCCACCAATACAAAACGTTGCTGGCCCCTAATATAGATCTATAACCACAGGCAAGACTGAAACCACAATGAGGGTGATCCCAATTCCAGTCAAAAATGTCCCTTGCTACCATAAGGGCTGGCAATAATAAGAGCTTTTATTCCAGTTTGAAACAGCATCCTCTGACAAATTGTGTGTCTAGTGGGAAGTGAGAAATGAGTTTCATTAAGATTGTGGCAGGAAAAACTAAATTCCCTAACTGACTTCTGCTTCTACAGATCTCCACGTAATATTTCAGGTGTGTTTATGATATGTCATTTCATAGTCTAGAACAGGTTAGAAGCCATAATCTGAAATAGCTTTTTGCTGAAGTATAACACCCCAAATCCCTCACCACTGACTGCATTTTCAAGACTTACTAACCAATCTCCCAGCTTTGCTAACCAATTTCATAGCCTTGGTCTAGAAAATTTTGACAAAAAGTAGTTGTTTCAAAATAATATTGTGTTAAGATATAGGCTCTGAAGTTCAAAGTAAAAACAAAAACTCTCTGAAATCTTCTGATTATGTAGATGCATTAAGATAGTTTACTTGATAGCAATATAGAAATGGTTTGCAATTGCCTTATTTCAGGATTGTTGTTAAAAAAAATTAGTAGGGCAAACTATATCCCTTAAATTTGCTCATAATCTTCTATCCAGATAGATATTGCCAGGTGTTATGATTCTCTTGGGTACGAGATTAAAAACAAAAAACTTCCAATGCAATACTTAGGTAAAGGTAACGGTTCCCCCACATATGTGTGCTAGTCATTTTTGGCTCTAGGGGCAGTGCTCACCTCTGTTCCTAAGCTGAAGAGCCAGTGCTGTCCAAAGATGTCTCCGTGGACATGTGGCCAGCATGACTAAATGCCAAAGGCACACGGAGTGCTGTTGCCTTCCCACCAAAGTGCTCCCTATTTTTCTACTTGCATTTTTTATGTGCTTTTGAACTGTTGGTTGGCAGAAGCTGAGACAAATAACGGGAGCTCACTCCGTTACATGGCGCTAGGGATTTGAACTGCTGAACTGCCAACCTTGTGATTGACAAGCTCAGCATCTTAGCATCCTGCGTAAATTGCAGTATTATGGTCTGTGTTAAAACTATTTGGAGGATCTCAGTGGCTATTACTGATTATAATCTTTATATGTATAAATGTAAATATTGCATCTTACTTAAGCTTAAAGTGATGCTTAATTCTTTTTTCCCCTCTCTCTTTAATACAGGAAGTCAGCCTTATCCTTGTGGCTATATTGGTATTATTATTGGCATGTTATGCTTTCTTTTATCTTAACCTTTCTGAAGAAGACGACCTAGGCCTGGAAAAAGATGGAAATTAGCCAAACTGTTTTCGAAGATTTCTTCTAGAAAAGCATGACTCTTGTCGGCTTCAGCCATGAACAGCTGCTCGTCATGAAAGTGGACAAAATGGGAATCAGTTCCTGCAACTCTGAAATTAATAATACACTTGAGAATATCTCTGCCAGACGTATGGATATTAATGAGGTTCTTCTCCTTTTCAAACTGTGGCTTATTGGCTAAAGTTGACCTTTTCCCTCATTTCTTTTTTAAACTGGAAATATTTCATTTCAGAAAACAATTTTCTATATTCATTAGTGTTATTGTGTGGGTGAAAAGAATTAGATTTCCTTAGAGCTTGGCAAACAAATACAAATTACAGATATGGCTCAAACAGAAATCAATATAATTTCATATCTGTACACATATTTCTATTACTTCCAGGTTGTACTAATTGTGTGAGTGATTCGGCACATTTTTAATTCTTATCTCCAACACAAAAATAATTTAAGTGTGCTGAATGTGTATGTGAGTCATGCATGATAAATCTGGGATTAAAAATCGTATACAGCTGGTCCTTGACTTACGATTGTAATTGAGCACAGAATTAGAGTCGTAAGTCATGCCACTTTTTAAGTGGGTCACCTTGTGACTGCACCCGATTTTATGACTTTTTTTGTAGTGACTTTTTAAAGTGAATACTGCCATTGTTAAGCAAACCCATTGTACCCAATGCGCATTTTAATGCAGGTTTAAATGCTGGTTTCAAGCAAAAAGCATAAATCGCCATGTGATTGGTGATGTAACTGTAGGATGCTGCAAATGCAGAACAGTTGCCCAGCACCAAAATGTGAGATCATCTGACCGTCATCTGACTGCAAAACTGGGTCATAAGAAATGTTGGGGAAGTTCATCATAGCAATAGCACTTAGACTTATACAGTATACCACTTCACAGTCCTTTACAGCCCTCTATAAGTGGTTTACAGAGTCAGCATATTGCCCCCCAACAAATTAAGTCCTCATTTTACCGACCTTGGAAGGATGGAAGGTGGAGTCAACCTTGAGATGGTCAGGATCAAATCCCTGGTAGTTAGCAGAATTGGCCTGCAATACTGCATTTTAGCCACTGCGCCACCACAGCTGATCATCATAACTTCTAATGGTCATTTAATGACCAGTCATAAGTTGAGGACTGTCTATAGCATATTTTGCTTTATAAGTTAAATTGATTTGCCAGGAAGTGACCGTCTTATGCACAGTTCTGTCATTACAACATTATAAGGGCTTCCTCTTTGTACCATAAGACCGATGTATCAATAGCACATTTCTTATACTTTTGGTTTTAATAGGATAGCAAACCACATGCCTACATTCCACTTCATTAGGAATCTTTTAAACATTTCTTTTTTGTAGAACACAATAATTGATGTTAATATTACGTAAAGAACATGCATATTAGCTCTGTAGCAAAGCCCTAGAAATCAAAATGTTTCACAGTCGGTCTATTAAGAGTAGAATACAGAGCACAACCTAATTCAAATAAAAGGCCTTTGAGTTAAATGGAAACAACTGAAATATGCATGTTCAAAAATTCTACCAAGCTGGTTGCACTTCTGCAAGTGCAGGTGTGAACAAAGTACTTTTTATTTATGTATTTAAAAAACAATTTCCAATGGCTCCTTGAGTTCAAAGTTTCTTTTAGAAAAAACAACTGGGAATCTATTAGAAAAACAGTTAACATTAAACCAAAACACAAAAGATATCAGAGATGTGTGATATATTTGAATGTATTTCCTAACATCAAATTAAACAATGTTTGAATATTACTGTTTGTGAGAAAAACCAGAATCAATAACAAGAGAAAATTATTCCAAATCCTCTAAAAAAAAAGGGATGGGTACTATGCAACATGGTTTCATAGAAAGGACAACCTCAAGCTACCATTGACTCATGCTCTACTACATCTTTTTATGGAAAGGGAAAAGTTTCACCTTACTAAGAAATAAAAGCTTCGTGTTGTCAAGAGAAAGAAGAGATCAAATAGTCACATTTTACTCATTTTTAATGACAATATATCTATATGGGAAAAGGGACATGGTGGCTCAGTGGCTAGGACGCTGAGCTTGCCGATCAGAAAGGTTGGCAGTTTGAATCCTTAGCGTTGCATAACAGTGAGCTCCCGTTACTTGTCCCAGCTTCTGCAAACCTAGCAGTTTGAAAGCACCTAAAAATGCAAGTAGAAAAATAGGGACCNTTGCTCCAAGGGCTCCAATTACAATCGGGACAACACACAATTTCTTTTTCCACAGTTTATTATTATTATTTACATAGCCAGCCAGATATTCAGACTGGGTTTGGCATTTTTGTCCATCTATCGAGTCCTTACCAAAGACCTGGGATAGGCAAATCTGGATGCTTGACAGTGTTACAGATATTGTTGCAGGATTGAAACTGTTCCAAGTAAAGCTGCCTTCTGCAATTGACTGATGGCAAATTTGTCAATGCCTAAAGTGTTCAACTGGTGCTCCAGTTGTTTTGGCACTGCATCCAAAGTGATGATGATGATGATTACTGTTGTTTTTGTTGTTCGAAGGTGCTTTTCTAGCTTGGATGGATATGCTGTACATAACAAATAGCTATTTTGCCCTGCCCATAAATTGTGCAAAAACAAATGAGGGGCTATTCCAAAATTGTTTTTCCCAAGGTGGGCACATTTCTGGAAAACAGCTGACCTTTAATTAACATCCCACTCATTCACGGCTCTAGGAGCTGCCCCAAAAAAGTTTTAGAAGACAAAATCCAGAGGCGTAAATATAGTTAGAGTCAAACTGATAAGTGTCCAGCCAGCCATGGTTTCCCATTTGTACCCTAACAATTCTACAGAGCTGCCATCCCTGAACTGCAAGCATCCAGACTGTGGCTGTAGAGAAGTGTTTTTCTGGCTCTCGTTTCTGCTGCCAATAAGAGCCAAACGCAGGAGTGGTGCAGAAGGAAGGTGAAAGGTCTCACCATCGTTTTCAACGTGCAAAGGGGTCTTTGAATCTCTTTCAGCATTTTGGGAAACACACATCCAAAGGAAAAGTGCAGAAGAATACGATGGAATAAGCTTTCTAGGAAATGAAATGTAAGAAGTAAACTTTCAACTTTGAGTTGGGGGTTTGGGGGGAGCAGAAGCAGGGAATACTGCAGGAGCAAGTTTCTTACCCCAGGGGGAAATTATCTGAAAGAGTTATTTTACAGGGATACATTTAAGCCCCCGAGGAAGCTTACGGTAAGAATAGTTTTCTTTGGGTAGGTTATTTTCCTTAAAGCAACACTATACAGGAATGCAAACTTTCAGGGTTTGAGAACAAGATCGCAGAGACAATAACTATCACATATTTTTCCTCCTTAACTACTATCCACGCTGCTGTCCCACTTCTAAGCAATACAGCTGTGAAGGTAATTAATTAATGTAGGAAGAAGGTTGCATAATAGCACAGGCCTTCTCACTGGCTGCTGGCATCAGCCACCATGCTGATCACAAGTTCCCTACCATTGTTGTCACCTCCCTGGAAAATTAGCCTTTAATTAACTTAGAGATCTATGGAATTCTTGCTATTCGGGACTTATTTGTATCTTTCAAAATCTCGTTCTTTTTATATGGAATAAGACACTTTCAGATGTCCAGAGGAGCTGACTTTATGAAAAGGCAGCCAGGCAGTCATCATCATAAATCTGGGTTTAGGAGCAAGAAGAATTAAATATCCTGTCCACTTACCCATCTCTGCATGATAACAAGAAGAGAACACTGGTTTTAACATTTTCAAGTTTTCACTTAATGTGAGCTACTTTCAACCTCAAGAATGCCAAATTGTGAAGAATCTGATAATATGGCCTTTCCCTACTTTTGAAATGAATTCTATTGCCATTTCTCAGTTAACAGGAAACAACACTTTCAGGAGTTGTGTTGTCCCTATTCCTCAGCCCTATCCTGCTTTTATTGTCACTGCTATATTACTGCCAGACACCTATATTTCCAAACTAGGAGGTGACAAAGCTGAATAGATTTTATATGCCTTAAGCATTAGTGGGATTCAAATAATTTAACAACTGGTTCTCTGCCCTAATGACTGGCTGGGTGGGTGTGGCCAGGGGGTGTGACAGGCAGCACTTGGCCTCCTGCACCCCCCTGGGAGCAAAAATGGGCTCCCATCCACTGTTTTGGACCTCGTAGCCTCCCTGCAGCCTCCTGTGAACCAAAACAGGGCATGTGGGGACAGGGGCAGGGCAGGAAGGAGCGGTGCCAGCCAGCAATTTAACAAATGGTTTCCCTTAACTGGCCCGAACTGGCTGAATCTCACTACTCGCCTTAAGGCTGCTTTTGGAAACTCAGATTAAAGTCTGTGGTGAGCACTTTTAATGCTGGTATAGGAAAAGGTGGGTTACATTTTCAGACTCATAGATAGGAGAGGAAAAGAGGAATTTAGCAGAATATCAGGGCAGAAAAAAATTACTAGAGTATGTTCATACTATGATTAGGCACAGGTGAGCATATGACAAGAATATGGCTCTGAACATTCCTTTGCATTATTCCAATCCTTTTAATAGGGAGAAAACTTTTGCAAAGACAAATGTTGAGAAAAAAAATTTCAATAAAACTTTCAGGGACGAGCTGACTTTACTTTAACTATGAGAAGGCCAAGGGCTATCTGTGATTCCACTGCTATGATGCAAACGATGTCATTTGGGCCTTCAATCATCCCAGCTTCTCACTTCTAATTTAAAATCCAGAGAAAGATGGGAAGCAATTTATTCCCTTAGACATTTTCATATCAGCGATCTGATTTAATAACAGCAAAAGAATTTCTAAAGTTCTGAGAAGTATCTTTCACAGAGAAAGTTGAAGGGTGATCTCAGTGCAGTATTATTTAATACAATTATAACATGAGACTTTTTCTGTCCCTTGACATTAGTAGCTTATATCTGGAACACTGGAGCACATTTTCAATCTCTATCTGATTTGTCTTCCTACTCATTTTATTGGTGAATTAACATTTCTGTGTACAATTTCCTTCTTACAATACAATACAATACAATACAATACAATACAATACAATACAATACAATACAATACAATACAAT